CAGCAGGAAGACAAAATAAGGAATTACTCAAGACTTACTCTCCAGCCCTGTAGTTCAGTATCTCACTTTACCTGCTACATAAGGCCACCACACTGCTTGCTGCTGAAAACAACCCCACTTCAGTATTACAATTCTAAGAAGTTACTCTCCTAGACTGTGCAACACAGAGCTTCAATAATTTAAATTAATCTATGAATACTTCATACCGGTAGAAGTACTTTTAAATATAACCCTGTACTGCAGCGCATCAAGTAATGGGAGAGACGCTTTACCTCAATATCAAATCCAACATTTTTGTTCCCCTCCTGATGCACAGCATACAGTTTGGAGATGACCTCGTTAGCCTTCACTCCAGAGTTTTCTGCCAGTGCTCGAGGAATGGCTTCAAAGGCCTCAGCAAACTTCTTGATGGCATACTGGTCAAGCCCAGGGCAAGTCTAAAGGGCAGTTGAAAACCACATCAGCACGTCTCCCTATCTTACAGTTTTTGACATTTCCCCCACATTTTTAATTGACTTATATACATTAATAGACACATGTATCTTGGTATAAAATAATATGTGTATGTTTTTCTAAGTCACGTATATATTTAAGTACATATATACGTGTGTGTGTGTGTGTGTATTTAAAAAAAAAAAGTCAGAAAGCCCACTTGCTGTACCTCTCCATAAGACGTAATCTGCTTGGCCAGTTCGATCTCCGTTGCACCACCTCCAGGAACGAGACGTTTATCCTGTGAACAGACCATCCCAAAACGCAAAGTTTTGCTTAAAGCGTCGTATTAATTTTCACTTTTTAGAATTTATATACTCTATCAAGAGCGCAATAGAACTTCATCCCGCACAGATTTACTAAGAATCCGCTTCAGAACAAACATGCATTCCAAGAGAAATTTATCAGAATTTACTCATTCACTCCAATGTCTTTGAAGAAAAATAGCTTCTTTTGTAAAAAGCAAAATAATAATGCAGTGGGGTTTGTCTCTGGCTTTTTTTGGTGGTTTTTTTGTGGTTTTTGTTTTGTTTTTTTTTAAAAAAAGTAATTTCAACTCTTGGCTAACTAATAATAGAATTCCTAGATTTTCTCATCTTTTCCATTAACTTCTTGTGAAATATCACGCAGGAAACCAATCTACTGTAGACCAAGTTTAATATGTCAACAGGTATCACAAGGTGTTTGAGGTGTTGTTTTGTTTTAAATTAAGCATTTTGTTTATCCTTTGGCAAACCAGCATTCACTTAAGAACTCCCAGTCTTTTAAGCGGAAAAGTAATCATCGTAAGTCAGGACAACTCCTGGCGACAAGCATAAACGCAGAGTCTGTGGCTGTTCCTGTGCTCTAAACCAACGTGTGTGTCTTGGTATGTACAGGACATTACTTGTCAAACAAAAGTTTAACATTTTTTGCATGCCACCTTCCAAGTAAATACACAAACGTTTCCTTTTGTATTAAAAAAAAAAAGGAAAGAATATTCAAGTCACAAAAGCTGTGCAGAAAAAGCTCTGAAGAAGGAGTTCTTCCATCTATAAAGCGTATCTGTAGTCTGTGGAGGAAGTGTGTCTTGTCATCAATGGACTAGAAATTCAGTTTGCAACCAGTCAGTTCCTCCTGATCTCCAATGACAAAGCAAGCTGTCAAGCTTCTCTGTGCCTGCTTTCCAAGGAACATTACAACACATTTCGGGAAATAGTCAAGAGTGAGCCAACAGATATTAGAAAATGGTAAAACTCATCTGTCTTCAAGAACTCACTCATCAGTGGAAAACTGAGTGCAGTTTTGCCACTGAAAGCTGAGCACCATCTTTTACGTACTCTGTACATAACACAATACTACACAAAATGACACAGCCCTCTCTACACCTCAAGAAGGCTCCTAAGCCGATACTGTAAATATCTGCCACAGCCTTTGCAGCAGCTGAGCACAAAGCAAGCACGAGTCTTGCCTCAAACCGATCCACAGCTTGGTTTTGGTAACTGAAGTGTTCTGGTTACTTACCCTTGTGAGTACTTTGAAAGTATTTACACCATCATCCACTGCTCGCTCTATGTCATCCATCAGATTGTCTGTAGATCCACGAATGAGTATAGTAGAAATGGCACCATCCTCCTTTTCTGTTCAGACAGAGATGTGCAGAACCGAATTAAGTTTGTTAGATGTAAAACACATAGGAACATCTACTTCTAGAACAGCAGCATCAAGAGTTCTACAGAACACACGTACCATGCTTAAACACAACCACTTGCGTATCCCCAACCTCCGATAAATACACACTATCGCAGTGACCCATTTCTTCTGGAGTAGGGGGAGTCTGGAAAGAAAAACAAGAGTTAAGAGGTGAAACTGCTCATCAGTTCTCTCCCTTCTGCTCCTCATCTGACAAGTCCATACCAGTCGGGGTAGGGCTGTTGCACCAACAGTTTTGCACAGTCTTCTCAGATCCCACTTGGAGTTCAACCTTTAAAAACAAGTTTCCAGAACAAATGTTAACACATAGAGGCAAGTACTCTCTTAACTTGGCAGCATTTTGTAAACTAATGACATCTATCAGAATGTATTGCATCAAGTTATAAAATCCACTCATCTATTTTTTCAAGTTACAATTATCCATTTTCAGGGATGCTATGCAAAGACTATCTTCTAAGAATTTAAAAACAAGTAAGTAGTTCAAATACTTGGAAATTATCCAACTTCACCTTCTAGTGCATAGACTTGAATTGATTTTTACAACACCTCTATAATAATCCTTCTTTGTTATGCAAGCATCAGGCTGCATTTCCAGAAGCTGAAACTTTTTGGACACTGGCCATGAAGTTACAGCTTTCAACAAAGGCCCATTTATTTGCATGAGACGTGAGAGGTGCTGCTAGCAAGTCTGACTTTATGTTGTGCAGCATATATTTCAAGGATGTACAAACACGCTTTATTTATAGGTAAGAAGATTTAAGGCCCACAAAAATGACAAAAACGCATTCAGAATCAGTTCTTCCTGCCATCAATACATTAGCAATGCATGGAGGCATCTCATCATTGCTAAAGCATCACATGAGGATGTGGCCAGGAGGAACCATTATGGTATAGTCTTATATGCCTTGGGGCCACATCCCTCTTTACCAGATCCACAAATTTTTATATTCTTGATTTCAGTTGTGCTATAAAGACACTTAAACCAGAATAACAGTGCCATACACACAATTAGGTGTCAGAGAGAGGTGAAATGCTATCAAGAAACATAAGCTATGAAACAACCAAATTGCACCTCAGGGTTTGATCCACTAGAAAACCAAACAGTCTGCAATATTTTGTTTCTAATTCGTTCGAGAGTCAAGAGACCATATGGCAAGTACATTTCATAAACCTGGGAGATCAAATGTTCTTAAGCTTTTCTAGTACTTACCTGACTAACATAAGATTGTATTTGTTGGCATAATGAAGCGCCATGTCTGCCACTTTGCCACCTGTCACTACCACATTTGCACCACTATCGGCGATCGCTTTGACTTGCAAATCCATTAGATTTTCTTCTCCCTTACTGAAATTCATCAGTTCTTCAGCATTCTTTATAAGTACGGTGCCCTAGTAAAACACATCCACTGTTACCAAGTTAGCGTTAACTACATGCCTGCAAGTTTTTGACAAACCATTTTGTCTCCCAACCTATCCGTAGACCTCAAGTCATCCTATTTTATAATACTGCCACCCTTCCCTGGCAATGGGGTAAAACAAGTCCAAAAAAAGGCAATTCTAGCATTTTTAGACAACCTTGAGGTTCTGACATTCTAGCACGTAGTCTGGCTCAAAGAATCCAACAAAACCAACAGCCCCTCCCCAGCCCCAGAAACCCTGTAAAGCAAAATTAGGTTCAGATGTTTTCTATGAACTTTTTAAAACTAATGAACTCAATATTAACAAAAATATCTCAATCACCAAGTGTCAACAATATTTATAGTTAAGTCTAAAAATAAGAGCACATGAGCATAAATAGATAGATAACTTATTTTGAGCTTTAACATACCTTAGTTTCAGTTATCATACCATCAAAAGGGCAGGAATACACAGCTATTTTTGCATCTTTGACAGAAGTAACATCTCCTTCAGTTTCTTTTTTAAAAACCATGCCATGCAGTACTGAGGAAGCAGAGACACCAGCACCCTGAAAGTAAAGAAATGGGATGGGGGGAAAAGTCATATTATTTATTGTCAGAAAACCACACTACACTTTAGGAAGAGCAGTCCTTACATTCATTTGAATGTAGCAACCAAAGTTTTCATTGCAGCATAAAGAACATAAAGACTTAAGCTGATTTAGCAACATCAAACATTGTCTCACAGGTTCCCATTTTAAGATTAGTTGGTGGTCCAGGTTCAGGCCTGGGGCATTCATTTTCTGCACTCAACTTGTTACGTATTTATTAGCAGGGAAAAAACACAGGGAGAAATTCATACTAGATAGAAACTTGTTCCAATCCTACATACCATACTGAGGCCTGGCAAAAAGAACACAAGATCAGACTGCCAGCCTGCACCGTAGTCTAATCTTGTGACCGATTCTACAACAAAGATGCAATCAACATCCCCGTGTATAATTAAGTTAGTATATCTGATTTAGCGCAAACTTTCAATATTAATGATTTTTGTTTCTGCAAGCTGCTACTGAACACTAAACCAGGAATGTAAAGACCAATTTCCAAAACTTATTATGCATGCCACAACACAACAGAAGTTAGAATAGAAAAGGCGCTTTCAAAGTTCAAAGATCCAAAAATTAACTTCCATTAAACTGTTGACCTTAGTAATACAACTTCCAACTTACCACAATTTTGCACACTCTGATATTATCAACGTTGAAATGACCAGAATCAGGAAGAATAGAAACTGTTTGGTGGAAAAAGAAAGAAAAAAGAATGAATTTGTGTTGCTTGATGAAGAAAGTAGAACAATGACACCATAAATAATGCCTGGAGTTTTTCTGAAGTACTAAAATACAACGGTTAGAGATGCCTGCCTAAATTTAAGGCAATTATAATCTGCTAATAACCTGCATCAAGAGAAATAGAAATTTTGTTTATACAGTGTAGCAATCAGAAAGCAACATCTATTCAGGCTGCTCAGTTAACTGAGTCCAAATACCCATTTACGCACATACATTCAGGAGTGAAGTCTGACCCAGAATATTTTAAGAAAGTACTTAAACTAAACATGAAAGTTTTTCTTGGAAATCTAAAGGCAGCAAACAACAACTCAACACAAGTACAGTCTTGCTTCCATTGTTCTGTGGCTGAGGCTAGCGACAGCTCATCTGAAGTGTAATACATCTTCCTAATGATAAAAAAGAGGAAGAAAGATGGGTTTCTGCTTTAAAAAGACTTGAAAGCTATTTCCAGAAATGTTTAGTAAGAAACACAGACCTTTTCTGAGCTGCTATGCCAATGAAGAGTTCAACACGAGTAAGAAGGTTATACTCATTTTGGAGGCTAAAGCATGCTATCCAATTCAACCCGATAAACTACCCATACCTTCTCTCTCACATGAAGACATCGGTCATCATCATAAGCAAACCTACCCAGCTTTTCAGAGGCACGCACACACCTGTTCTCGTCCACTTACCACAGGCCTGGGCAATAAGCTTTGCCAAAAAGCGTTCATTGCCATATTGTTTGCTCATCACTGAGGTGTGCAACAAAGATGCCACTTCTTCAACATCTCGAAGGTTCTTTGCAGAACAGCACACCAAGTCTGGAAGAATTTCTAGGGCTTTCTTGCAAGCCTTTTCATATCCTTCAATCACCTGTGCAGCAAACAATAAATACTCACTACACCACTTCACCATGCATTCATACTGCTTGTATCTCCTTTTCAAAGGGCCACAAAACATTAACAAATGCAAAAGCTTGCTTCCCTTGTAAGCAATCCCAAGCAGCAAAACATATACCATTCTTCTTCATACATCTCTACATAAAAAATTAGTTCAGATGGAAGCAGACGATTCCCAATATTATAACCCAAGAATACCGACCAACGGCAATCTGAATTGAAGCTATGTGAATTGCAATAACAACATAACTTGCCTCGGAGACCGATAACCCCATCCTCAGAAGGTCTTCTGCTAACTCCAGGAGAACTCCAGCGAAAACAAGCACAAAGTTTGTTCCATCTCCAACTTCTTGCTCTTGCATGTGGGAAGCCATCACAAGCATTTTTGCAGCAGGATGCTGGACCTTTAAAAGAAGTTACACATCTTAGTTACTAACATCCCGCCTAGACTGCAGCTCCAGGTTTTTCTGTGCATCCAGGATAAGCTCCCTTATTTCAAATTGTATCTAAAGATACTAAGAATGCACAAAATTGGAGAAGAAAGCAGCACAGATTATTTTAATTGGCTAACCTCCCTAATAAGCCAAAGTACAAACATATATGAAAAATAAATAGAATCAGAGAACTGAACATTCCCCCTACAACATGAATTAGACATCTTTGATATTGGTTCTGTGCTGTTTTTACAGGATGCAGTGGTTTCACAATCAAGCTCTGCAACAGGAAAGCAGCCTGAAGTTTAGATCTCCAAGCTGAATTCATGTGTAACATGCAAAGTAGATGACTACATTGCCGTTTAATTCTAGTGTTCTTCCTGCTTAAAGATTGCACTGCTTTCCCTTTCTTCCAAAGAAATGCAATAAAAATGCTGTATTCTTTAATGTAATTAGAGCAGCTGTCATTTTATCCCAGAAAGTAACATGCAAGACTCATTAGATTAAGTAACTAGTCTGCAGATTATTTTTTAAAAACAGAACTGAAGCTTCCACAGTTATTCTACTTACACCAAACACTAACACAATGCATTAAGGAAATACTTAATACTTACACTATTTCTATCAGTAAGTATACAATTCAGTAAAATATTATTTACGTCGTGATACAAACTTGAATTTGATAGTAAGAGAAAAAGTTAGGACAGGTCAGTCCTTCCACATTTTTACTGTATTTACAGGAGGATGCTGCTATATCCTCAGCTTCTTAAATCCAATTAACGTATTCTAAGCAGACAGAAGAACATGGCAACCACCAGCACTGGGAAATCAACACAACAGCTAATTCAGATTTTTCCAAACACTGTGTTGCCTAGACATACCCTCTTCTAAATCTACGCTGCCTTGGGGGGAAAAAAAAGTAGGCAATTATTAAGCATCTCCTGCAACTACATTAACACTGCTTTCCAACAGTTCTATTCCTCGATGTGGACATAGCCCATTGATTTTACTCAAATCCAGCGAAAAATGCAAATGATTTACAAGATGACAAATGTAAATCATCTGGCATAGCGACACCTATTCCCTTAGAAACATTCAGAACCACAGCAGCCCAGAAACAGAAACACTAGTTCACAACTGACCTCTTCTGAAGCAAGAAAACTTACCTCCAGCTCTCTCAAGATAGTAGCAGCATCATTTGTAACAAAAAGCTTCTCCAGATGATTGATAACCATTTTGTTCATTCCTAAAGGAGGGGGGAAAAAAAAAAAATTTCATTCATTAGGTAAACATCATTTTGTATAGATACTGTTTCATAACTTTCAGGTACATTAAAACACATTACACATTAAAACGTTAGCCCTGTTTATAATTTAAGAACCTCCAATATTTTTGCAAAATAATGCTTGGGAGTGTATTACATTAAGGAGAAATCAATAATTTCTGAATAAGCACTCTTCTCCTCAGAAATATTAGTACATCATTTAATTAACCGATACTGGAGAACACCTTTTGTTTTGGTGTATCCGAGCAGACATGGCATGGTTATGTTCATTATGACTATCTACCCAGTTACTGTCTTTCCTTTAATTTTTGTAGGCCTTCCACACTACAGTAAAACAGCAAAGAGGACACAGTAACTGGTCATAAAACCCAGCAAAGGCAGGCACATTGTGCATACCTCAAGAGCTAACCACACAAACGCTGATCTGTAGAGCCACAAAGACTATCTTTAGAGTTTTAGAGCAAGTCCAGTGTGTTTCCTCAAGAAACAAGCAGCTGCTTCTTTGCCAAGGTAGGTTCAGCCCTCAAACGTAACACTTTGCTCAAAAACACTACAATTGTTTTAGAATTTATTTACCGTTTGGTCCATAAGCTGTACGGGTGGTTTGAGCAAGTTCTTTGCATGCCTGGATGTTCCTATAGACGGCTTCTTCTAGTCCTGAATAATGCTGAAAAGAAAAATGTTCTGCTCAGAATTAGGCTTTCTAACAAAAAAGGCAGGCACAAACTAGTCATTTCTCATCAAAGCAGCAATAACCTATTGAGTCCATGAAAGTTTGATTAATTTCAATTTGGTATTTCACTTAAAGTTTAAATGGAAACTAAACCTTACTCAAAGACAAGTGAGAAAAGAACTACTGTGTACTCCTTCTCAACTAGGCAGCTCAGCAGGCACAGTAAGCTTCTGAACAGAAAATCTGAAGCGACTCAATTTTCTGTACACTTTGCTTCTCTTAAGTCTACCAAAACCGTAGCGGCATGCCAAAGGGAAACAGAAAATACCCAATGTCACATTGGAGAGGGGCAAGGGTTTTGTAAGCTCATGGTTGTGTATACGCTTCTTTACTCACAACTCTATTCCACAAAAATCACTGAACTCAGTTCTACATTCAAACACGTGCGGTTTGAAAATTCTGGAGAACGATTCATAAAACATTCGTGTTTGAGAAGCCAATCAGCCTGGCTTCAGTTTGGAAGCCTTAAAAAAAGGAGGGATGCCCAGAAAGGGCCTTAAGAGAGAAGAGGGTAAAACGTATGGTGTGGCCCATAAGGGAAGACAGAAAGATTCTCTCTAATAAATTTACCCTCTAAATACAAAGCAAACGTTGCAAAATGCCAGCTGTCTTCTTGTTTTGTAGAAGACAGCTCCTGCTATTCTGGCTTTAAATTCTCTCTTAGAGAACCAGCATCGCAGTCACTTTGTTTCCTTGCTCTCCCCCTGCCATTCTTGGCCTCTGAGGAAGATTCTGAAAAGAAAAACAGAGGGCTTTCTGAGTTGCTAACTTCACTTTCCTTTCTATTCAGTAGCAGCAACCAGAAATTTTCTTATTTCCCCCTGCAATAAATAATTCAAAAAAAAAAAAAACCCTGCATGCTTTCTGTCCACTTTTTCAAAGAAAGCTGCTGCTCTATCAGGCACTGTCCTTGACTACTATCAAAGCCTACGTTATGTTAACGGTATATGCACGGAAAATGGATTTC